TGTGAAAAAATACCCAAGGTAAGTGTTTTTTTTTTGCAAAAATGCTCAAAAACCATATGGTACAAAATAAACCACAAACCTACCGCAGATGACTGATCTCTGCCAAACCAGTCAACAGCAGCTGCGTAACCGAGCAGAACACACAGAATCAGGAATCTCATTTCTGGAAGGAGCATTCAAATATTCCAGCCATGTGTTCAATGACACGAAAACAGTATTTCCATAAAATGTGGAAAGAACGAACTATGTAAAACGCTATGCACTTTTCTTATAACCCAGGATCCCTATGGTTATTGAAGAACGAATAGAGAAAGGTAGAATAAGTCGGTTTAGATCATTATTAACTTTTTGTAACGAAGCTTCTGCTATCCACGCTCATTGGCAGTGGTGAAAAGAATTTATGGTAGAATGTACAGAAGCGGATGTTGATAATCTGCTGTATGTATATTGATGGAGCTAGTCGGTAAGTAGAGTTATAGACATAAGGCATATGCTAGATATCAAGCAAAAATCAATATAGTGTTCTAGTACTGTGAAGATATTTCGAAATATAGGCATTAGAATTTGAAGCGTTTGTAGTTTCGGAATATATTAGTGATATTGCATGAAAACATTGTAAATGGATGGCACGGAGAAAAATCTTTATTTTTACCACAATGTACTGTACGGCGGAGCATTCTTAGTGGGGGAAACGAAGCGTTTGATAAAGAACTATTAATAATTTATAATGGCTATCAAATTTACAGGAGTTGTCTTGAACTGTTTGCTGGCTACCCTTTTCCTAAAACAATAACTCTATGTCTAATAATGTACGGATGGGAAAAACATTAATTTTTAGTTGTTCTTCTCAAAAATCCTAGCGTGAAAACCTGCAGAATCTTAAAATGTAACTCTTTTTTTTGCGTTCACTTCTACGAATGAATATTCAAGCGAAGGAAGGTTTTCTTCAATAGTGAAATTGCAGACGACATTCCACCGCAGTTTTCTTCTACAACTTGTACGGGTACTATTTTTGGTTCAGCAAATCATACTTCTGAGCTTTCACAGCAGATATGACTTCGTCTTTTAAGAAACGTCTTCTTATAGGTGGAGGATTGTGATAAAGGTATTCTATCA